AGCAGGTAGGGCATTTACCTTGCATGTGGCTGACCCAGGTTCAATTCCCGGCATCCCTTATGGTCCCCCAAGCACTGCCAGTAGTAATTCCTGAGTGCAAAGCCAGGAGTAACCCCTGAGCATTGCTGGGTGTGACCCAAAAAGAAAAAAGAGAGAGAATCAGGGACACTGCCTAATTTGTCACGGAATCGAAAATCAGATGGGCTGGACACATAATGAGATTTGGAGACTACCACTGGACTAGAGCCGTTAACAACTGGATTCCACGGGACGTCAAAAATTCGTGTGGCCGCCCATCTACGAGATGGTTAGACTTCTTCATCAAGACCCTGAACAATCAGTTTGTAACTCTTTGTGTTCCTAGAATGAGAAGACTCCATTGGGCTAGCATGCAACAGGGACGAAGGGAGACATTACTGGCGCCTGTTTGAGCAAATCAATGAGTAACGGGATGTCAAGTGATCAAGTGATTCCAAATCTGGCGGACTTACAGATGCTAAGTATTAGAGGTCATCTGAATCTGATTGTTGCACTTCTCAGTGAAATCAGCACAGTACAGGCAAAAGGAAATAAGCTTCGGTAGTCTTGCTTGACATCAACATGAGCCTCAGTCGTGGCCTGCCCATTTTTGAACATGGAGCACATTTTGTCATAAGTGAGGTCCAGGCTGTAGAAGTTTGTCAGATAGTTTTTGCCCTGAACATCCTCTGTAATCAGCTTGAATTTTTGCAGATCAGCAAGGATCACATCAAATATATGACCTTAGAGGTCACTGGATGCAATTTTGGTTCCTTGTGTTCTAGTCACAAGCGTTTTCCCAATATTTCTTATATTAAGCGTTGTGGGAGCATTCACGTCATTCCAGTCTTTCTTAGAAAATAAAATAAACCATTTTCTTCTTGGCTTCCCTTTTGCCACCCGTCATGGTGCCACTCAGAAAGCCAAAAGTGTTTATGTGGTTTTTAATGTTGCAAGAGTCTTGTTAAAAAGTGGGAGGGAACTTAACTTCACAAATTTGAATATGCTTAACTGTTCTGTCATTGCAGCTTTATGCATTTTAGTTATGTAATCAACAAAGAGTATACTTCATACTTTTTCTCTTCACTGTATTACTGTCATCCAGTTGATAGTCTAATTACTCGAGCAAGCGCCAGTAACATCTCTATTCCTCCCAGCCCTGAGATTTTAGCAGCCTCTTCTTATGTTTTCCTAATGATTGGAGGCTCTTTCAGGGTCAGGGAAATGAGACCTGTTGTCATTACTGTATTTGGCATATCGAATATGCCGTGGGGAGCTTGCCAGGCTCTGCCTGTGACGGGGGACAATCTCGGCAGCTTGCCAGACTCTGTGATAGGCATATAATTATATATTTTTCCCTATGGTTTTAACTATTACTAGCGTTTATTGACTGTTACTGTCTACTTTATACTCATTATAAGTTAGTTATATGTAACATAATCATAATAATTCTGTATTGTAGATGCTATTTTCACTATTTAACAGATGAGGAAAACAAAAAACAGACTGTTGAGTGTGACTTACTTCATTATTGTATAGTTTGTGCAGAATCGTAGCGCCAAAACTGAAATTTTAGGTCCTCATTAGCACTGTGGAATATAAATATGGCTAACTGCTTTAACAGAGTATCGTTATTCTTTTGTGTGATGGCTGTCTTTAGAAAGAGAATTTTGATTTCTGAGGATGGGAAATAGAAATCAAGATGTTTTCTCTGTATATCTTCCAGAGAGAGAGAGCGCTCATAATCTAGTTACCTCCCCATATACTCTGTCACTTTAGAGCTTTAGTGTATGAATTTGGGGGTTGAAGGATCACCATAAACATTCTATCTATATTATTATGTTAAGTAGTTCTTTTGTAAATCCAGCCTGAAAATTCATCTATCTTTTATATCAGTTTTCTATAAAAGCTGACCCTTCAAAAGTAATTTGTGGGATTCAGTTAGAATAGAAACCTTTCTTACCCTAAATTCCAGTAAAGAAGCAGCATAAAACAATAAATTCTGAGTAGTACTAATTAGTCGCATGACCTTGAGCAGATTGTTTACCATTCTGTGCCCTAAATTTATTTCTTTAGTATGGTGTAATACCCATTATTAGGCCTATTTATGAAGATTGTGAATTGATAAAACATTTAGACCCAGATATAGACTTTGTAAAATAATGTTGGATTGATAAAATTGCATTATTCTATTTCAATATCAAACACAATATGTACAAGTTAATTAAAGTATTATGGGACCACAAATATAGTAGAGTGTAAGGCACTTGCCTCACATGTAGCCAGTCCCACTTTGGTCCCCAACACTACTCATGATCCACTAGTTCCACCAAGGATCACTCCTGACCACATCAAAGGTGATTCACTAGTGTGTGTCTCTCATCAGGCTTGAAATAAATAGATGCTAAGCAATTAACTTTAATATGAAGAATTTTAATTATATGGTAGAATTATGAGAAGTGTTTCACGGTGTTTTTTGTATTTGGGGGTTTTTTTGTTTTGCAGGGATTATATCTAGAGGTGCTCATGGGTTACTTCTGGCTTTGCACTCAGGAATTACTCCTGATGGTACTCAGGGTACCATGTGGGATGCTGGGGATCAAACCGAGGTCAGCCTTGTGCAAGGCAAATGCTCTACCACTGTACTATCACTCTGACCTCTTGTCTTGCTTTTAATTTTATTTCATTAATTTTTTCTTTTTGAGTCACACCCAGTGATGTTCAGGGGTTACTCCTGGCTCTGCACTCAGGAATTCCTACTAGTAGTGCTTGGGGGACCATATGGAATGCTGGGGATTGAACCCGACTTGGCCACCTGCAAAGCAAATGCCCTACCCACTTTACTATCGCTTCAGCTCCTGTTTTGTTTTTTAAATACTTAAAACAGAGTATGTTTTATAAGAAGTCATGGGTTTAATTTCTTGGTTTTTGTACACCTCTGTCATCATGGTATCAGTAAATTTCTTAAAATGTTTTCATAGTAGGGGCTGGAGCAAGAGCACAGTGGGTAGAGTATTTGCCTTGCAGGTGGCCGACCCAGCTTCTATTCTCAGCATCCCATATGGTCCCCTGAGTACTGCCAAGAGTAATTCCTGAGTGCAGAGCCAGGAGTAACCCCTGTGCAATGCTAGGTGTGACCCAAAAAGGAAAAAAAATGTTTTCAGTGTAACTGGTAGTATCACTGTATCACTGTCATCTCGTTGTTCACCGATTTACTTGAGTGGGCACCAGTAACATCTCCATTCGTCCTGGCACTGAGCTTTTAGCAGCCTCTCCTTACTCATCCTTCCCAATGATGCTTTATTGGAGGCTCTTTCAGGGTCAGGTGAATGAGACCTGTTACTGTTACTGTTTTTGGCTACCACAGGTAGCTTGCCAGACTCTGCCATGAGGGCAGGATACTCTCGGTAGTTTGCCTGGCTCTCTGAGAGGGACAGAGGCTTTTGGGCTGACAAACACCTGCCTGCATCTCTGGGCAGCACCTGGGGCATCTGAGGCCTCAGGTTGATCTCCTTGAAGTTAATGGAGTGTGCCCGGAGGTTGTTGAGCAGCTGGCAAGGACCCCATTGCAAAGGGTCTGTGCCAGAAAAATATGTATATCTGTGTATGTATATATACATATATATGTATATGTATATATATATATGTCACAGTCACGGTCCTCCCATTATTCATCAATTTGCTCGAGCGGACCCAATAACGTCTCCGTTGTGAGACTTGTTACTGCATATCGAATACGTCATGGGGAGCTTGCCAGGCTTTGCTGTGCGGGTGAGATACTCTCGGTAGCTTGCCGGGCTCTCTGAGAGGGGCGGAGGAATTGAACCTGGCTCGGCCGGGTCGGCTGATAGATGTGTGTGTGTGTGTGTGTGTGTGTGTGTGTGTGTGTGTATGTATATATATATATACACACACACACATATATATGTATATCTCCCTCTATGATTTGTTACCTACTGTCTAAACCCCATCAAAAATGGGGTTTTTTTGATGGGGTTTAGACAGTAATTATAGAAAATGGGTAGGGAGTGTCTTATGATGTGTCCAGGAATATGTTCACTCATATGTGAGGCTCGGCCGGAGCATGTGGAGAGCGGCCTGGAGGGGCTGGGTCTCTTGGGATGGGGAGGGAGTAACTGGTAGTAGAAAACAAAATATGAAGGATTTTGTGCGTATGTCTAGGTTATTTTGATTAGTACTAGATTTGTATTTGGAATACCCTTAATTCTGTTTACAAAGAATTGCCTTAGTGAAATTTGCATACAATTGAATAATCTATTTCTGACCAGTGAGGGTATTAGGAGGAAATTTAGTTTAATCACTAATTAGATTGCTTTAATTTAATTGGGAAAACTTTAGATGGTGACCTAATTCAGCTTTAGGCTCATTAATTTAATCATTTCTAGATAAAAACTCTACCTTCATATTTTCTTGACTTCTTTTTTTAAGAGATTCTGTTTATGGGACTTGAATTCATTTTAAATCCTATAGCACGGGGCTGGAGCACAGCAGGGAGAGAGTTTGCCTTGCACACGGCCGACCTGGGTTCGATTCCCAGCATCCCATGTGGTCCCCCAAGCACCGCCAGGAGTAATTCCTGAGTGCATGAGCCAGGAGTTAACTCTTTGCATCGCTGGGTGTGACCCAAAAAGGGAAAAAAAAAATCCTGTAGCACAGCGGGTAGGGCGTTTGCCTTGCACGCAGCTGACCCATGTTCCATTCCTCTGTCCCTCTCAGAGAGCCCGGCAAGCTACCAAAAGTATCCCGCCCGCACAGCAAAGCCTGGCAAGCTCTCTGTGATGCATATCCCAAAAACAGTAACAGCAAGTCTCACAATGGAGACGTTACTGGTCCTGCTCGAGTAAATCAATGAACAACAAGAGGACAGTGCTACAATGCTACAATTCTCTATTTGAACATTTTAATTTCTCTTGTTTAATAGCAATTGGTCTTAGTAAGCAATTTTAATATACTGTTTACAGATTGCCCAAGGACTCCAGATACTCCAAGTAGTGACCCTCGTTGTTCTACTAGCAATAATAGGTTGATGGCCTTACAAAAACAATTGGATATAGAACTTAAAGTAAAACAAGGTGCAGAGAACATGATACAGATGTACTCAAATGGGTCTTCAAAGGTAAGTACAATAATAAACTTAAGTGTATACTCAGTTTACATTTTTTGCAGATTCTATATGTGTGAATTTGTCCACGTGGTGTTTGTTTCCCCACATTACTACTTGTGCTTTTACAGTCATTTTTCAACACACACATATACACAATAAAAGTGAAATTTGAGTTACCTGATTAGCATGTTCATAGCTACACTGAACAAGGTGATGATGCTTCTGTCTTTTTTAAGCTCTCTTATTGTAAACTTCTTAGTCTAACAGTAGTGCTTTTTTTTGAGGGGAGGGGTGGCTTTGTAGGTCACACACAGCAATGCTCAGGGGTTACTTTTTACTCTGCACTCAGAAATCACTCCAGGCGGTGCTCAGGGGACCATATGGGATGCCGGGGATTGAACCCAGGTCGACTGGATGCAAGGCAAACGTCCTACCCACTGTTCTATTGCTCCGGCCCCAATAGTAGTGCTTTTTACCCCTTTTTATTACTTTTGCTGATTTTGCTGTTTAAACAATGTGATGTGAAAGTATCTACAATCACACAAATTGGGAACAATTGACTTTTAAAGTAATGTATGAAAAAATTCTTATCAGTATCAGTAAATTTTTATCTGAATAAGAGATGAGAAACTATCGATATTTGTGATTTTTCTGAAAATCTACAAGTATTTTATGAATAAAAATTTTATTTAAAAAGCATTCTCATGAATATTTCATCATCATACAATGTGTTTAAGAAAGGTCAAAAAAGACAGGACATGAGGACCTTACGGTTTGTTTGAAAAAATTCTGTTGGATTGTTGAGGACTCTGGTTGTGGACATAATGCCTAATTGAAAATCACTGTTATGAAGAGCAAGGTTAATAATGGCATTGTGTCCTTATTCTGAGATATAATGTGGAAAGGAAATGTTGGGAACCACCAAACCAGATTATTATGAATGTACTTTCTCATCTAGGTTTTTAAAGCTTTTAATTTCCAAAAAGTCTTAGGAAAGTAATTTATTATAAAGTATATATTTGTTCTCTCAACATTTATTTTAAAATTTCTTGCCTTTATAAATGTCTTTTTATAATCGAATAAATATTAAATTCAGTATATTAATATTCAGTATTTTATTTCCTGTTTCTCTTTAGGGTTAAGGAAAATTTGAAATAGGGGAGACTGACAGGAAACTTGTCCTTGATATTATGCATCTTACTCCTGTATCCAAATGAAACTTGGGGGTATACTACAAAGAAACTCATTAAGATTTTTTTCTCCAGTTATTTCTTTTATATTGTTTTTATTTGGTTTTGGGCCACACCCATTGGTGTTCAAGGCTTATTCCTGGCTCTACACTAAAAAATCTCTCCTTAGGGGACCATACTATATGCCAGGAATTGAACCCTGTTTGTTTGTGTGCAAGTTAAATGCGCTACCTGCTGTAATATCAGCTCCAGCCTGATTAGTTTTATTTTATGGGCAGGCGTGGGACAGTGTGGGCACCAGCGATTCTTGGCCAAGCAGGTTTGTGGTTCAATTTAATGGCCTGATTCTGCTGTGCTGCTCTGGGCCTCTAAACTTTTGAAAAAATATTAATTATATATTATGCTCAAAATATTTTATTTTAGTAGTTTATCATTGGCTTATGATTCTAGAGAATTTTAAGGGTTCAACCTTATACTTGTGTATGTGTTTAAGGCTTAGCACACCATCATCAGAGTTCTGATGCTATCTCCTCACCAGGAAGGCTTCATTCCCTCCAGTTCCCTTCTCACTAACCCAGCATATTTTCACTGGATCTTGAAATTAACTTTTTAAAGTACCATGGTTTACGATACTGTTAATGACAGGGTTTCACGCATAACACAATCCCTCACCACATCCTCCCCCAAAGTGTTCACATCCCACATATGTGATCATTTTGTGTCTGTCCCCCTCTTCCTATCTTCACTCAGCATGATTGTCCCCAGCTCCCTCCACATAGCAGCAAATTACATGATTCCATCCTTTCTTATAGCCAAGTAGTATTCCATTGTGTATATGTGCCATAGTTTCTTTATTTAGTCATTTGTTCTTGTATACTTGGGTTGTTTCCAGATTTTGGCTGTTGTGAACAGTGCTACAATGAACCTAGGAGCACAGATGTCTTTTCAAAATACTTTTTTTTTCCCCCACTCTATGGTGTAGATGTAGAAAGTGGAATTGCTGGGTCATAAGGGAGCTCATGAATAAGCTGTTGTTGTTTGATGAATTTTAAAAGTATTTTAAGAGAAATTATACTTTTTTTAATATGTTACTTGTATTTAAATGAGATAGTAAAATGGGCTGGAGTGATAGCACAGCGGTAGGGCATTGGCCTTGCTCGCAGCCAGCCTGGCTGAGCTAGGTTCGATTCCTCCGCCCCTCTCGGAGAGCCTGGCAAGCTACCAAAAGTCTTCAGTATGCCAAACAGAGTAACAAGAAGTCTCCTAATGGAGACGTTACTGGGCCCGCTCAAGCAAATCGATGAAAAACGGGAGGACAGTGTTTGTTTGACAGTAAAGTGGTCATTTTAGTATTGACCGAAATTTTTTTTGTGGTTAGTTTTTTGTTTTTAACTAGTGCTCTTTGGATCTGAATTTTAAAGGCAAGGTGTTCGTGATTGTGCCATGTCAAGCCTAGTGTTTGGCAGTTTAAGCCAGCTCTATGTTAGGCTAATATAATCTAGGATTAATGAGTTTAATTCACAGATTCATGAGCCCTGTGAAGTTACAGGAAAAGTGAATGTGAATATTGATAAAGGGGGAAATAAAGGGGTGAGATCTTGCTCCACATTCTTCTTTCTGCTTTTGTTTAGGGCCCACAGCTGGTGGTGTCAGGGCTTATTCTTGGCTCTGTCCTCAGGGATCCCTTCTGGCAGGACTCAAGGGTCCATATGCAGTTCAGGGATTGAATCCATATCAACTGCATACAAGGCAAGCACCTCACCTCACTGTACTGTATTTTTGGCACCATTTCACTATATTCTTAAAATAGGCTGTAACTGCCTACCCTTGCCCAAAATTGTACAGGGTTATTTATTGGCATACTAAAAATAAAACATTTCACAATGATCACAGGTTCACAATGATAAGTCTATAAAGAGCCTGCGAAGAAAATAGATAATTTCCAATAACCTTTGTCTTGAATTTGGAGATTCATTATTTTGATGGGGTCACAGATGCCATGCACTACCTTTTTCCTGGTCCCCAACAGCACCCTGAGATTGAGAAATCTTGTATTGTTTTTTCCCCTTAACTGGCTCCTCATTTTAGATTCGGGAGAAAGGAACTTTACATGGAGTCTTAGATTATCAACTTCAGTAGCCATTTTCAGAGAAAAGTCATTCCCTGATAGGAGGGGGAAAAATACCTGAAAACCAGGAAGATGCCTTTTATTTGGAAAAAAATCCTCCAGGTATTTCGAGCAGGTGTTTTTTTCACTCCCTACTGGTAGAATTTTTAGTAGATAAGGTATAGTGAGACGTAAGGTACAGCATAAGTGAATGGCAAACTAGATTACTGTGGACAAAATTTAGTGGTTGAGATTCTATCTTAAACGATAAATGAAACTACTGAAAGACTTTTAGCAGAGAAAATAGACAGTCAGATTTGAAGGTTAGAAATTTGACATCCATCTTCCTCAGTTGTAAAGAATTCATCAGAAAGGGTTGAATCTTACAGATAGCAAGTTTAAGTTTCACGTTTATAGTAGTGCGTGGTTAAGGTTGCTGCTTCTTTCATATTGTTACAGTAATGAAAGCAAAAGACAGAGTCAAGCTACTTAGGTAGGATAATACTTGGTGCCTAGAGAGAAGGAAGAAGGCCGAATTGCTGATGCTGCTTACATTGTATGGATAGATTGGTGAATGGAAATATCCTTAATAATGAGAGATAATAATGAGAGCTAGGGCTGGAGCGATAGCACAGCGGGTAGGGCGTTTGCTTTGCATGCAGCCAACATGGCCGACCCGAGTTCGATTCCTCCGCCCCTCTCGGAGAGCCTGGCAAGCTACCGAAAGTATCTCGCCCACACGGCAGAGCCCGGCAAGCTCCCCGTGACGTATTCGATATGCCAAACACAGTAACAACAAAGTCTCCAATGGAGACGTTACTGGGCCCACTCGAGCAAATCGGTGATCAACGGGAGGGCCTTTACTTTTAATGAGAGATAATTCACTTTGGGAAGCAAATTTAGGAAGACAGAAAAATCACACAGTGATTTTTGTAGTCAACTTCAAATCTCTGTTTACTGGGTTCTATGTTTACATTGTGCTAGGATGTGTTACAGCCAGAGTTGTCTGTGTCTCTTCTCCCAAGGACTTTTATGGCTTTCTCTCTCACTTTATTCAAATCTCAATTCAGATGCTCCTATCTTTGCAAGTTCTTCACTGCTATCCCATGAAAATAACAACCCTGTTATTCGCCCTATCCCATTTCTCTACCTTACCACTCTCTGAAATGATTATTTATAAAATACATTTCTTTATTGTTGATTCTCAGCATTAGAATGTAAATACCATGACAAAGCAGCTCAGTGGTTTTCAGAATAATTTCTGAGAGTTTGATAAGACATGCTGAAGAAATTTTTTTAACAATGTTTCTAAGTTGAACTGGTTCACACATGTTTTCCATTCTAGAGACCTGTTTCAGTTCCTGGTGTAGCCCAATTTCCTAAGACTTTTCATGTTATTTCCTTGAAAATATCCTTTATACCAAACTTAGCTTTGTGGTTAGCTCGTAAATTTTTTCTGAGTTCCCTCGTTTAAAATTTTATGCCATTTTATTTTGAATTTTTTAATTTGGCTCTCTTTAACATTTGGACCACTTTATCTCTTCAACAAACTAAATTTCATAGGGTAGCATCAGCACTGAATAATTGTATTTTCACTGGCTTTGATATTTCATGTATCCAAATTGAGGCATAGTCGCCCACTGTAACATGTAAAACATTTTTTTTTTTTTTAGTACTCTCAGTGTTGCTCAAGGATTATTATCGTGTCTATGCTTAGTGCTCACCACTCCTGGCAGGGGACCATGTGTGCATTGGAGATCAGACCAGGGTTGGCCACATGAAAGGCAAGCACCTCTATAGTCTCTGGCCCAACAAAAGGTTTCACGGTCACGGTCCTCCCGTTCATCGATTTGCTCAAGCGGGCCCAGTAATGTCTCCATCATGAGACTTGTTGTTACTGTGTTTAGCATATCGAAATCATCACGGGTAGCTTGCCAGGCTCTGCCGTGCGGGCGAGATAACTCTCGGTAGCTTGCCCAGCTCTCCGAGAGGGGCAGAGAAATTGAACTCGGGTCAGCCATGTTGACCGCTTGTAAGGCAAACGCCCTACTGCTGTGCTATCGCTCCAGCCCATTTTATATAATAAACTATATAATTTAAAAATAAAAAAATTTTATTTATAAAGTGCTGTGATATTATATAGTCCAAATATCTCCATTGTACATTGCTAATTACTAATTATCAACTTCTAATTCATTGGGTTGAGCTATCTGAAATTTCCAGATTTCAGTTCAAAATTAGAGTGTGGCTTTTCGTATGGTTCAACCAAACATACATTTTTTAAAATGTTTCCCAAGACGTAGTATAAAAGCCAGTAGTGTTTCTCTCTCCAATGTCTTGGGGAACATTTAAATGCCAATCATGTGCATGATTATATAATTTTAGTATTATCTTGATACATAAACTTGTTTTAGAGGATAATATCCATATTTACATAATATCTGCCAAAAAATCAAAATCTTGCAGAAGAGGGTAACTTTCCCCAATTAATATATGATTGAAAAACAAATTTGTTGCTATTAAAGACACTCTGATTTGACTTCAAGGAAGTAGAAAAGTTATTTCAATTCTCTAGTTAGATAATTCTTAGAAAATAAGAGATTACATTTTAAATTTGGAGGGTAAACAGATGTAATCATAAAAGAATATACATACAATCAACCACCAAGTTCAAGCTGGTGTTCTTGTTGGTGAAGCATTATTCCAAAATATCCTGTGTGCTACTTTGTTTTATAGAGGAGATTTATATTTAAAGGACTATTTGAACCCAATTCTTTGGAGGTATGAAATCTACTTTTATTAAATAGAGAATGAATTCTAACTAAAAGCTCTTCTTAAATGACTGGCCTTGGTAACAGAGAATGAATGAATGAAGCATTCATAGTTCCTAATTGCTCTTTCTTCCGCTGTGTATTAACTTACTTTGATATTTAATGTATTTCAACTCACTTCTTTCATAATATAATGGCTACACTGTCTCACCACTTATATCTCCATCTTCTTTATTCAGTGTCATTGTATACTGAGCTTATTGATTACTTTTATCTCATTTATTTATTAATTTAAGTTAGTCTATAATCTTCTGACATACACAACAAAAGATTGATATATGTTATTTCCAAGTTATAATTGATTATCCTTGCTGGTTTTCATGCCTTCTCACATGGTGCTTATTTTCATTTACCTTTCTTCTGTGTGTGAATTGAAGTCTACTGCAGATGGCAAGACATCAGAAGTTCTCTCTCACAAGCACGTGGCCTTGGCCAAAAATGAAGGAAAGCCAAAGGGACAGAGAGCTGTTGGGCTATGGCCCAGTGACAGATTACAGAACAGCCAGCCCCAGCAAGGGGACAAAGTTTCCAGCTGCAAGTCTGAGACCAGGAACACAGACATTAGACAGAGGATAGCAGGAATAGGACCAGGCCACCATACACTGGAGGTGTGTAGACAGGCCAGGAACAGGACCAGAATGTTATCATCTGGACAAGGGACCCAGATGCATCTCCCTAAGCTATACAATAAACTTTTAACCTAATGGTGGGGAAGAAATTGACATTGACAACTGCTGGACTTCAGGAGACTGGCAAAAGTTTATTCACAATTTCTTTTTCCTAGGTTTATTGAATTTTTTTTTAAGCATTCAAAGCTTTACACTCTTAGTGACAAATGTTTGCTATTTTCTTTATCAGAATCTAATGAAACATACTGTCTGTGATTTGCTGTTGGCCCATTTGTATGACATTCCCTGAAAATTTAAATGAAATAATATAGGAAAGGAAGGGATTATCTAAAGTTGATCAGTGAGTCCTCTATTACTTCATACAGTGCTCTTATGTGAGAGTTACTGACCATGGGGTAGGAAAATTATTTACATTTTGTGTAAAGCAAAGAGAAAATTAAACAGGAATTTGGGTGCTTTTTGTATTTTTTTTTTAAGTAATAAAATTCACTTGCTTTCTCTCAACTTGTGTTAACTACCAGTTTCCCCCCACTATCCAAAAGAATGTTTTTGTATGTTACAATATGGTAGTTTATTTCTTGGATCTGGGACTGCACAAAGAGTTAATGGCTATAGCATTTCCAGACCCTCAAAATAATCTATCAAATCATATTAAATAGGAACATTCAACCCTTAGATAGCAGGAACAACTTGTAATGTCATGGGATTTGTTTTTATTGGGTTTCTTTTTTGGTCCATCATTTTTATTATTTTTAAAAATAAAAATATCTACAAGAATATATTTTATATTGTTTTTTCACACTTCAGACTTATACTTGTTATTATTTGATCTTATTTAGAAGCTATGAAAATATGCTATTTGTTTCTTTTATCTGTTTACCTGAAACTTCTTTTCCAATAGGATCGGAAACTCCATGGAACAGCTCAGCAACTACTCCAAGATAGCAAAACAAAAATAGAAGTCATACGAATGCAGATTCTTCAGGCGGTCCAGACCAACGAATTGGCTTTTGATAATGGTGATGAAATAGAAATAAATTGTCATTGTTCTTAATGTGGACATTTGATGCTAAATAAATTTTATGTAAGAAAGAAGCAATAGTATAAACTTATGCAGGAAACATCACTTTTTAAATTTTTATTTAGTTTTTAATCTGAGTTTTGAGGTTTATAATGGATGGGTATAAAGTCAGTGTTGTATCTATGAAGTATTTATTGACTTAAATAAGCCCTTTAATATAAGATTTATCTTTCTTGAGATTCAATCACTACAAATAGAAAATCACATGGATTAAAAAAGGTAAAGGCCCTCCCGTTGATCGTCGATTTGCTCGAGCGGGCCCAGTAACGTCTCCATTGGAGACTTTGTTGTTACTGTGTCTGGCATATCGAATACTCAATTAATATTTTTTTGCTCTCTCTTCTAGCAAAGCCTGTCATAAGTCCTCTTGAACTTCGGATGGAAGAGTTGAGGCATCATTTTAGGATAGAGTTTGCAGTGGCAGAAGGTGCAAAGAATGTAATGAAATTGCTTGGCTCAGGAAAAGTAACAGACAGAAAAGCGCTTTCAGAAGTAATTTCAAATAAACCTTTAATTTAACAAGTACATCTTTATAGGAATGTAATTATTTAAATGACAGTAATTGTCTTTTCCATGTTCAAGGCTCAAGCAAGATTCAATGAATCAAGTCAAAAATTAGATCTTTTAAAGTATTCCTTGGAGCAAAGACTAAATGAACTTCCCAAGAATCACCCTAAGAGCAGTGTTATTATTGAGGAGCTTTCACTTGTTGCATCGCCCACACTGAGTCCACGTCAAAGTATGATATCAACACAAAATCAGTATAGTACATTATCTAAACCAGCAGCATTAACAGGTATGAAACATGTAGCTTCTGACTTTCTTGTATTCATTTTAGCCGGCATCTTGATCTGGTTTCTTTCATTTTAAAAGTGCACATAGTTTCTAAAATATTTTTGTAAGATAAACATAATAAAATTTATTATTTTAACCCTTCCATTTCCCCTCTCTCTTAGTCCCTGGCATCCAGCGTTGGTTTTATGTCTCTTTAGAGATTAATCTAGATAGTTCCTATAAATGAACTTAATTAGCTCATGGCTTTTCATATCATGCTTCTTATATTTAGTTACTATTGTCAAGATATGTTTGTTGCTCTTATAACATGAATTAACACTTCTTTCTTTATGACATGATATTCCATTGTTTAAATATATATCAAATTTTGTTGCAGTACTCATCAATTGATGGTTATTGTATTTTTTTTTCAGTATTTGACTATTAATAGTGTTGCTACTATGAACATTTATGTGCAGGTTTCTGAATACTTGTTTTCAGTTTTGTTATATTCAGTTGTGAGGGTTGTATAACTCAGACTATCATTCTGCTAAGGACAAGATACATTCTGAGATATATGTATGGGACAATTTTATTGTTATGGAATGTTGGTATATTCTTTCTGTATAGCCTAAGTGTGTAATGGGCTATATTATCTAGCCCATTACACACCTAGGCTATATAGAAAAAAAACTATGCCTTTTTTTGCTGTCTTTGACTAAAACATTGTTATGTGTCATATGGCTATATAATTACAAAATTGTAAGGTATTTTAACTTTCTGTTTTTGAGGAGATATCAGACTTTTTCCAAATACCTACATCATGTGTTTCTAATAGAAATGTATAAGGGTTCCAATTTCTCCATATACTCACCAACACATTATTTTCCAGTTTTTTATTATTACTATCCTGGTGTGTCTGTGACTGAAAGTGGTATAGTTATGTCTCAAATTATTTTTTTAGAACTGCCCATTTTTACTTTCTGTAATATTTTCTGTTTAGGGATATAGCTTAGTGTTGATTGCTTTGTATGTATGAGACCCAGGATTCAGTCTAGGCACTGCAAAAATAGAACAAAGGACCAAAGAGATAGTAATGAGGTTATGGGATTTGCCTTGCATGTGGCTGTGGCCGTGACAGTAGTTCAAATCAATGGTTCAAGTTCCAGCACTATATAAGGTCTCCCAAGCATCATCAGGTATGGCCCAAAAGGAAATCTAAAAGGGTCCCTTTTTCATTCAAGTTGTCTTTATAATTTAATGTTTGGTTAAGAGGCCACACCTGGCTGTGCTCAGGGCTTCTGGCTCTGCACTCTGAGATTACTCCTGGAGGGATTCCAGGGACTGTACAGGGTGCTAGGTATTAAACCCGGTTAACTGCATGCAAGGCAAATGCAGTACCCACTGTACTAATCTCTCCAGCCCTAAATATCTATTTTTTTGGCTGAAATTTTATTTTATTTATTTTTCCAACACCCATCCCTTCACCATTTCAATCACCAATGTCCCCAGTTTCCCTCCCAACCCCCACTCCCTGCCTGCGCCTGCTTCTGTGGCAGTTACTCCCTCTCCCCTCCTCTCTTCTCCTCTCCCCCCCTCTCCTCTCCTCCCCTCCCCTCTCTTCTTCCCCCACTCCCCTTGAGTCTGGCAAATGGTTTATCGATTGTTTATTTTTCTTTTTCAAAGAACCAGCTCTTGGTTTTATTGATCATTGGATTCTTTTTGGGATTCCAGCGCATTATTTTCTGCTCTAAGTTTTATTGTTTCCTTCCTCCTGCCTGGTTTGGCCTCCTTTTGTTGGTCATTTTTTTTTAAGATTTTAAGCTGTGAAGTCAAACTACGTGGGCTCTTTCTTCCTTCCTGATGTATGCTTGCAATGCTATAAACTTTTCTCTTAACACTTCTTTTGCTGGGGCTGGAGCGATAGCACAGTAATTAGGGCATTTGTCTTGCACGCAGCCAACCCGGGTTCAATTCCCAGCATCCCATATGGTCCCCCGAGCACCACCAGGAGTAATTCCTGAGTGCAGAGCCAGGAGTAATCCCTGTGTATCACCCGGTGTAACCTAAAAAAGCAAAAAAAAAAAAAAAGGTGTTTTTGCTGTATCCCATAAATTCTGATAGCTCGTGTCCTCACTCATTTGTTTCCAGGAATCTTGATTTCCTCTCTAACCCACTGGTGATTTTTCAGTAGTGAGCTATTCGGTTTCTAGGTGTTTGATTTGATTCTCCATTACTGTATGTGATTAACTTCTATTTTCAGTGTCTCATGGCCTGAAAAAATGGTATAGTTTCTATCCTCTTAATTTTATGGAGGTAGGTTTTGTAGCCCAGCATGTGGTATATCTTAGAGGATGTCCCACATGCACTTTCAGAATGGGCAGGCCACCAGTTAATTTCCCTACCATATCTTATTTGGGGAAAGACATCCATCAACACTGTCCTCCCCCAACCCGCACCGATCCCTTCCAGGCACTGAGTTGGGGGATACTGATGATGTATTAGAAAGATCCGCCTCCAGGATACCATAGGCACCATGGGGAAACTGCAGAAAAGCACCATGAGGGGTAGATGAAGATAGGAGCTCTGAAGCCTCAACAAGGAATACCCACATACATAGTCTCTGATAAAGAATTCGGAGACGAAATAGTGAAGGTGTTTAATGAGCTCAGAGAAACAATGGAACAGACATCCAATAAAATACAGGAGGAAATGAGAAAAAATAAGAAAATTACAACAGAAATGGCATTAATTAAAAATTAATTCAGTAGATGAAATGAAAAACATTATGGGTGCCCTTAACAGTAGAGTAACAGCAGCTGAAGACAGAATCAGTGAGCTTGAGGATGAGATGCAGAAAACCTCCAGGAAACAGCAAAGGATAGAGAAAGTCCTCAAAATAACTCAAGGCCAAAGCAAAAAACTATGGGATGAGTTAAAGAAGAACAACGTAAGACTCATCAGAATCCCAGAGACACAGGGAGGCAACTCCAATTAGGTAATAACAGTAACGGTATAAGACTGTTATACTGGGGCTGGAGTGATAGCACAGCAGGTAGGGCGTTTGTCTTGCACATGGCCGATCTGGGTTCGATTCCCAGCATCCCATATGGTCCCCTTTGCACCGTCATGAGTCATTCCTGAGTGCAGTGCCAGGAGTAACCCCTGTGCATCACCGGGTATGACCCCCCCCCCAAAAAAAAAGACTGTTAAAAAAAAATTGCTAAAAAATTCCCAGAGCTGGAGAACACAGTCATCAAAGAAGCCCAAAGGGTACCAGCTAAGGAAGCCTGCCTCATGAGCAAAGGGGAGAAGGCAGCTGGAATAGAGAAGGGATCAATAAGAAAAAGATGGCTGGAGGAATCGGTTGGGATGGGAGATGTGTGCAGAAAGTAGATAAAGGACCAAACATGATAAACTCTCAGGGTCTGTATTGCAAACCATAATGCCCAAAAGTAGAGAGAGATTATGGGGAATCATGTCTGCCATGGAGGCAGAGGGAGGGTGGAAAAGAGGGTTTATACTGGGGATATTAGTGGTGGGGAATGTGCACTGGTGGAGGGATTGGTGTTTGATCATTGTGTGATTGTAACCCAAACATGAAAGCTTATAACTATCTCACGGTGATTCAATAAAATTAATTTTTTAAAAAAAGGAGTATCAGCTAAAAGAGACCCTAAACAAAGACTCCAAGACACATTCTAGTCAGAATGATGAACAGCATAGCTAGAGATACAATATTGAAAGCATCAAGATCAAAGAAGGAAATTGCATACAAAGGGCATACCTTACACTTAGAGCAGACCTACCGAATGAAACCCTCTGGAACCAAGGAAAGTGGTGGGATGTAGTTAAAAAACTTAACAAAATGGGGCTTCACCAAGAATACTCCTCCCAGCTAGACTCATTCAGATTTGAAGGAATGATGCACAAATTAATGGATAAACAACAGGTCAGGAACTTTATAAACTCAAAACCAATCTTAAAAGACAAACTCAAGGGGCAATTGTAAGTCAAGACAAACCCCTCAAACCCAGCAATCCCTATAGAAAGATGACACATACCTCCATGACAATAATCTCTCTCAGTGCCAAGAGTCCAAATGCAGGATGACAAAATGAACTAATTGGATTTAAAAAATTGAACTCAAGATTCTCCTGTCTACAGGAAACACATTTGAATAGTCGGAGCAAACACTGACTCAAAATGAAAGGCTGGGAAACAATTCTTTAGCAAGCAACTCAGTAAAAACCGGGATGGCCATACTAGTATTCTGCAACATAGATTTTAGGCTGAAAAAAGTTACAAGAGACAGTGAAGGTGATTTCTTAATAATTAAGGGATACACATAAATCTGGAAGAAATTATACTCTGAAATGTATATGCCCCCAATGAGGGACCAGCAAAATACTTAATACAGCTGCTAATAGACTTCAAGGAGGACAGTGGTAGCAACACAATAGTAGTTGAAGACTTCAACACTGCCTTGTCACCCCTTGATAAACCAAGGAGACTAAAACTCAGCAAGGAAATACTGACTTTGAAAGATGAAATGGAAGGGAGGGGGCTAGTAGATACATACATGGATGAATTTCATTCCCCAAAAGCCAAATATACATTCTTCTCCAGTACCTATTAAAGTTTCTTTGTAACTACATCTTGTATAATTCCTACCTTGTATCCTCTATCACAATAAAATGGTTAGCGGTCACTTTTTAATGTCTTTGCCTTATTCTCTATCTTATTACTGTATGTACCTCTTTTTTTTTTAACTCAAAACTGGAATATAAACTTGAGGAACAAATACTTTTATCTACTGACATGAAATCTTAGTCTGTACCTTGGTTTCTTTATACATTCAGCAGATGCATAGTAAATATTTGATGATTAGGTAGGATCTGGAGCAAAAATAGCACTGGTATTAATTAACAAAGGATTAAATATGGTGAGGGATTAGTATAGCTAAGTAATGTAGGCATTTACTGACCTGAGGTTCTCACCACATGCTTTTGTCTCATTTAGATGCTGATTACTTTTGTGGTGGTGAGATTACCATCCTGAAATTTTCAAATTTGTTCCTACTTTGATTTAAGTTATAATTATATTTTTTTATTTACATGTTGAAACATGGCTTTTTTTTTTTAATGTAGGTGTACTGCTATTTATTTGTATTGGTTTTTTTAAAAGATTTCCTCAAAATTAAAAAGTGGTATTCAGCTGTATCAAGATGAAACACTAAATTAATAAGATGGATATAGAATTGTTTTCCCACAAAGTTTTTTAAAAAGCATTTACTTGTTCTAATGGAATTCATATCTACTGTTCATGAATAAAAACATTTACTTATTGGATTTGCTTATTCCATAAATTTCATATTGTGGGCTATAAAGGGGGAAAATGTAATTTTAAACTATTTCTAATATAGATATGTGAAATTGCAGTTGCATCACCTCATAAAAGAAAGAAACTTTTAGATGCTTAATAATGATCTTTTAAGTCCCTCCAGGTTTTTTGGTTGTTTTTTTTTTTTTTTTTTTTGCTGAATGAAAGCAGGTGTTGAGCATTGTCATCTCCTAATATATTGAGATTACTAAAATATTTAATAAGCTACCAGGGTTTGAAGTGGTAGCCAGATGTTTTCAGATTCCCCAGGATGACTTTCATGGCTGAGCATTTACAGTAGAAATGAACTAAGTTTGTCACTTTTACAGCTAAAAGCAAATAAAATGCACAAACCCAAGTTGTTTTCTTTTTAACTAAAACAAAGCTATTATATGTAATCTGCCTTACCACTTTATAATAGAAGGTATGATTTTTGTAAAAGGTAAAGGCCCTCCCGTTGATCGTCCATTTGCTCGAGCGGGCCCAGTAACGTCTCCATTGGAGACTTTGTTGTTACTGTGATTTTTGTAGCCTAGGAAAATATAAAATTTTTCCATGTGTCTTTAGAAACTTTATTGAGATACCAGTTTTATGCTGTAGAATTCACCCATTTTAAGTCTTTTATGATTTTTTTAGTAAATATAGGTACTTGTGCCACCATTTCAATCTGTTCAGTTTTTAGAGTTTTATTTAGGTAAAATTGATAGACAATAAATGACACATCAAATGTGTATCTTTTGAGAAGATTTGTAGTTTATTTAAAGTTAAGCAGCCATCATAAATATATTAACATTGATACATTAATATGTTCATCCCACCACTAAATGCATCCTCATGTGCCTCTATGAAATTTTTCTTACCTGCTTTCTCATACTCTCCTTCCTCACAAGCAACTGACCTATTTGATTAGATGTTAATTTGCATTTTGTTGAAACTTATTTAAATGTAATTCTACCATATGCATTTTGTGGGGGGGGGTTGTATGTGAATGTAATTTGAACTTCTTGAGTCAAAATCATTTTGATATTTAGCTATATTCTCTCTTTTCAGTACTTTCAATTTTCAGTAGGACTCATTTGTATTTATTGTTTGTACCTCTCACCTCTTTATCCATAATTTTGTAAACGTTCCATCTAATTATAAAAATAAGTATTTATATAAATGCAAGAAGTTTGTATAACTTGTTCTTTGCCCTACACACAGCTTTTGGGGGAGGTACTTGGACTGGAGCGATAGCACAGTGGGTAGGGTGTTTGCCTTGCACATGGCCAACCTGGCTGACCCAAGTTCAATTCCTCCGCCCCTCTCAGAGAGCCCAGCAAGCTACCGAGAATATCTCGCCCACATGGCAAAGCCTGGCAAGCTACCCGTGATGTATTTGATATGCCAAACATAGTAACAACAAGTCTCACAGTGGAGATGTGACCCCCTGGTCACATCTGGACCCCCTCGAGCAAATCCATGAACAACAGGAGGACAGTGCTGCAGTGCTACTTGATCTTTCTATAAAATGTCCACAGTTGTCTTAATGAGGAATTTTCAGTAGTCTTCTCTAATTAAAATAGGAGAAATGTTTCCTCTCAGAACTACCAGAAGAAATTTTGTAAACTGATCTTTGCAGAATTATTTTTGTCCACTCTTTCCAAATAGGTGAGAACGACATTGTTTAATATATTAAGAATTGATTTTTTTTTGTATGCTATCAGGTACTTTGGAAGTTCGTCTTATGGGCTGCCAAGATATACTGGAAAACGTCCCTGGACGGTCAAAAGCAGCATCAGTTGCACTACCTGGCTGGAGTCCAAGTGAAACCAGATCATCTTTCATGAGCAGAACAAGCAAAAGTAAAAGTGGAAGTAGTCGAAATCTCCTAAAAACGGATGACTTATCCAGTTCAGTAACTAAATTCTTTTTAATCATATACAAATTGAGGGGCTTTGCAGAGATTGTAGCAATAGTAGAGAGGGACAGAGTCAGAATTGGATAGAAAAAAATGAAAATTATGACTTTCATAATTTGATTTAAAAATATTAAAAATTTGAGTCTATTTTAATCTCTGGTACCACGTGGTCCCCTGAGCATTGTACCAGGTATATCCCCTAAGAACCACCAGGTGTGGTTTCAAAATCTTCCACAAAGTAAAGTATTAAAAGCAAAAGTGACAGGGGGGGGGAAAAAGCAATAAAAACTCAAAAACAGGGGGCTGGAGTGCTAGCACAGCAGGTATGGCATCTGCCTTGCACGCAGCCAACCCAGGTTCGATTCCCAGCATGCCATATGGTCCCCTGAGCACCGCCAGGAGTAATTCCTGAGTGCAAAGCCAGGAGTAACCCCTGAGCATCGTCGGGTGTGACCCAAAAAGCAAACAAAACAAAAACTAAAAAAACAGTAGGCAAATTGAAAGACTTTTAGCATTTATTTTGGAGGGATATGAAGGGGATCGCTTTTTATGCTGACTTGAAAGGGTGCAGAGGCTATGAAACTTAAAAGATCACAATTTGATTTAGCAGTATAATGGCTCTTCTGAATGAATATTGAAATTTTGATAACTATGTTCACTAGGATTAGTAGCCCAGTGTTTTAAAAACAAACTGAAATAGGGGAAGAGGGGGAGTATTAAGAGTAAAGCACATGGGACCGAAGCAATAGCACAACGGGTAGTGCATTTGCCTTGTATGCGATCAACCTGGGTTCGATCCTTGACATCCCATATGGTCCCCCAAGCACCGCCAGGAGTAATTTCTGAGTGCAGACCCAGAAGTAACCCCTGAACATTGCCGGGTGTGAGCCAAAAAGCAAAAAAAAAAAAGTTCATGACATACTTTGGAGACATTCTTAGTGTGATTATAAACCATGATATGAATGTATAGGCAAGAAAGGCACATGACAGCTCAACCTGGATAGATTAAAAGAGCAATTCGTATTTCTGTTTTTTCTGTGTACAGCATGAGCCTTTTAAGAAAAATTGGAAAACAGTGATTTTTTATTCTTTTTAATTTTTTGATTATTGTGGTTAAGATGCATGTTTAAAATGTAGTCTTGACTTAGAGTGTTGATGTATTGTTTCCGCAACTCACCACCACCATAAGGTAAAAGGTAAAGGCCCTCCCATTGATCATCGATTTGCTCGAGCGGGCCTAGTAACGTCTCCACTGGAGACTTTGTTGTTACTGTGTTTGGCATATCGAATACGTCACGGGGAGCTTGCCAGGCTCTGCCGTTCGGGAGAGATACTCTCGGTAGCTTGCCGGGCTCTCCGAGAGGGGCGGAGGAATCGAACTCGGATTGGCCATGTTGGCTGCATGCAAGGCAAACGCCCTGCCGCTGTGCTATCGCTCCAGCCCGCCACCATAAAAAACTTTTTTAAAGGTAACTGGCTATTTAGCAATATTGAAGGACAAAAACTGAATACTGTTGATATACAAACATACACACATACATTGTGGCAAAGAACTGTGGATCAGGTGTTAGTGCTTTTAGTTATATTCTAATATGAATGATACTATGTGGTCTCATGAAACAGGATAATTTGAAAAGATCTCATGGGACTGTGTATATGTAAAAAACTAGCCATCATGATTCAAATGCTTCAGTTTGATTTAGAATTATTTTTCAAAAATACAAGAATTTAATTACTATTAAACAGTGGAGCTTGTATTTTAAAGATTTCTAAATACTTAAACAAACTTTTTAATTATAATTAACAGGTGATGTCTGTGCAGTTTTGAAGTTAGATAATACTGTGGTTGGTCAAACTAGTTGGAAACCTATTTCCAATCAGTCATGGGACCAGAAGTTTACACTGGAACTAGACAGGGTAAGACCAGATTCTTTTACTTGGGTTTTCATAACAAATGATTCCTTTCATATAGAAAATTCCTTTTCATAAGACCTTAAGAAATGTTATTCATTACAGAATAAAAGAACTTACTTTTGACATTTCTCATCTATTGATAGAGGTGATTATCACATTGCCTTGTTAGCAAAATGTGGTTTATATTAAACTGGAAGACCAACAACCAGATAAGATCTAATGTTGAAATATATTTGTTTATATAGAGAAATAAATATATCTCTAATCACTAAGGTGATTCTTCTGACTTACCATTTCTATGTTATCTTATCAAACTTGGGTTGAAGTAGACATATGATTCTCAGTCACCAAGTCCTCCAAGTGTCTCACTGGCTTTCATGAATTGTGTGAATGGCAGGAATTCAATCTGTATCTCTTAAGACCCAGTAGAAGGGCCAGAGAAATAGGACAGGTATTAGTGTGCTTGGTTTGTATGTGACCAATCCGGATTGAATCCTGGCACCATATATAATCCTCCAAGTTTTGCCAGGAGTGCTCCCTGAGCACAGAGCCTGTAGTAAGCACCAAATACTGCAGGGTATGGCCCAAAAACTAAAGAAAATAATAAAATGAAAAGTAAAGCCCAGCAATTAATTTGGTTCATAGTAGACTCAGTCTGATAATAATTTTATTATTTATATCTTAACCTGTCCATTGAAGGTGTGGAAAAAATGATAAAATTATAATTTTGTGTAAAATTAAAATACTGTCTTATTATCATCTAGTATCTAAATTGTTAGTACATTTTATTTCAAAATTAAGTTAATGAATAGATTTATAGTCTTAATGGTGGTGTGAAATAGCAATTATTATTCTAGCCTCATTTTTTTCTTTTTTTTTTTAGATACTAGGAATGAAACCCAAGCCCTTATATATTATATATACAGGTCAAGTGCCCCCTTCTAGCCTCAACTTTAAAATGTTTCCCCAATTTATTTTTTTCTGTTCTCACAGCTAACATCCTAATTTATGACCTTATGTTTTTTATCGTTTAAATTCTGACTGCCACTTAAATGTTAAGTGTGCTTAAATAAAATACTTAACCTTTCATGTGTGCCAATTTCTATATCTTGAATAGTGTGTATCATACTGAGATATGTGAGTATTATTATAGACATGTAAAACTCAGTGTGAGTTTTAAGAAAAATTTTACTATATTTAAATGTTGGCTGTTTCTGAGTACAACACTGATCATCAGAGAAAACTTTTGTTTTTAGAACATACCTGGCAATGCTCGGGGGTTACCCCTGGCTCTGCACTCAGTAATTACTCATGGCAGTACATAGGGGACCAAATGGGAGCCAGGGATCAAACCCGGGTCAACCGCTTGCAAGGCAAGTGCCTTACCCACTGTAGTATCTCTCTGGCCCTCAGAGATAATTTTAGCATCTAGGTTTAGGATTATTTATGAAAATTTATTATTTGCTTTATTTACTTACCACTCATTCATACTTAATGAATTTCAGGCACTTCTAAATAGTAATTGCTTTCCATTATATAATTTATCCAAACATAACTTTATTTTGATTTTTTTAGTTAAAAATGGATTGCCCAGGAGACATTATAGAGGTTTGTCCCTGATCCCTGTACACGGCTTATGCCTTACCCTGATTCAGTCAGTCACCACATTGCCCCCCACAGTGTGTGAAATAGTCCCCTAAACCATAGGGCCCAAGCAGCACTGTGTACTTGAGCCTTGACATTGAAGTCTCAGGCCCAGTTAGCCAGAATCACCAGGAAACTTTAAGGAAATTCTTCTATCGGTAAAAGGTTACTGTTATGCAATCTTTTAAAATGTATATATAACTGAACTATTACTAGTATCAGGTATATAACATAATGATGTTTATATTTGTATATATATGTTGCAAAATGCTTGTCACCAAAAAATCTGGTTAACATCTATCCTCATACTATTTTTTCTTGTGATGAAAATCTTGAGATCTTAGATTTCTTGACTCATATTTTCTCTTTGGGTAGCAGGAAGATTAGCTTTGTTCCATGTTGTAAATTAGCTAGTTTATATAAGTAGGCCTGTACAACTTAAGTCAGGCCTACCAGAAAGGTAAATGCACTTAAAGTTGTTAATTTATATAAACAGTTTTTATGTTTTGTTATATTTTCTTCTTTATAAACTAAATTTAGAATGCATGTATAACTATAAAATATTTCAAACTCCTCTTTTTAATGTTAATTTACTATAACATTCACTTTAAAAACAAACTGGCTTCATTATCTTACTAGCCATTTGTTCAACAAATTGCAAAACTTTAGTACGATCATTTGTTTCACTATCTAAAATGGGGCTACATTAACACACAGGACTGGTTAAGATGAGTAACTGAGGTAGTGTATGCCTTATATTTTAGCCACTATGACATTAACATAGGCTTTGATGTGTGGCTGTTAATTTTAATATAATGGCAGACCCCTCGGAGAGCCCAGCAAGGTACCAAGAGTATCCTGCCCACACGGCAAAGCCTGGCTAGGTACCCGTGACTTATTGGATATGCCAAACACAGTAACAAGTCTCACAATATTACTGGGCCCATTCAAGCAAATAGATGAACAACAGAGGACACTGACAGTGAAAGAACTTGTTAGATAATAGGGAATTCATTGTTTGAGTGTCATTTTCTTTCTTTGCAGAATCTAGAGTAATTTTGAGATTTCTTTTTTCTTTTTTGGCATTGCTGGGGAATTATAAGGTTTTGTTTATTTTTTGCTTTATGGGCCACACCCAGTGGTACACAAGGCTTACTCCTGACTCTGCATTCAGGGATTCACTTTTGCTGGATCTGAGGGACCATATTGGGTGCTGGGGATCTAATCCAGGTTGGCCACATGCAAGGCAAGTGCCCTGCCAACTGTTCCTTTGCTCTGACCTAACATTTTTTGGATCAGAATGAAACTTAGAATGTTGTTGAAAATGGCCGGTCAGAAAATTTTCTTTGTAACCAAATTACTATGTTTTGTATTTCAAATGGAATTAAAAAGTAATTATTTTTTTTCATTATTTCATATCCAAGGAAATTTAAAATGAGTATAATTGCATATTAATACATTTCATAACTTCTAATAGATCTTTGTTGTCCTTCTAAATGAGTACTCTTCCCCCTGGTAGTAATTTATTTGCATGAATTAGATGACATAGAGGAGAAAATAGTAGAAGATGATGACAACTTCAAAGAGAAGGGAGCACCAAGTAAAGGGTCTTGAGAGGATCCTCCCACGATGAGAGATGCATGCTGAAAGTAGACTATAGGCCAAACATGATTGCCACTCAATGCCTCTTTTGCAAACCACAGCACCCAAAAGAGAGAGAGAACAAAAGGGAATGCCCTGCCACAGAGGTGGGGTGAAATGGGAGGATGGGGGGGGGAGATACTGGGATTATTGGTGATGGGAATGGGTACTGGTGGAGGGTATTCGATCATTGTATAACTGAAACCCAAGCACAAAAATTTGTAAGTCTACAACTGTACCTCATGGTATTTCATTAATAAAAATTTATTTTTTAAAAAAGAGAACTTCAAAGAGAAAAAATAGTTTAAAATTGATGTCAGAGACCAGAGAAATAGTAAAGAGGGTAGTGCAGAAGGCACTTGCTTGCTTTGCACAGGCCATCCCAGGTTCGACCTCAGGCATCTCAGATGGTCCCTTGAAACCCACCAGGAGGGTTCATTGAATGCAAAGTCAGGAGTAATCCTGAGTCCCATTCCCCACGTCCAAAAAAAAAAAAAAAAAAAAAAACCAACTTGGGACCAGAAAAGAAGTTCAGTGGTAGAACACATGCTTCAGATTTCTGAGCCACTTGCCCTGAAAAGGTTATAAAATTACCTCATCTGAAACTTAGAAAACCAGAAAGAATGGTCATTGTTGGCTAGTTATTTTTTTATTTAAAATTTTGACCCGAAAGTTTTTTTTTTTCTTTTTGGATCACATCCGACAATGCACAGGGGTTATTCCTGGCTCTTGCACTCGGGAATTACTCCTGGCAGTGCTTGGGGGACCATATGGGATGCTGGGAATCGAACCTGGGTCGGCCGTGTGTAAGGCAAACACCCTACCCACTGTACTATCACTCCAGCCCCTGACCTCATTTTTATTTCCCTTGACAATTTTATTTCCCTTGACAATTCTTCTAACTTTGGAGTAACACTCTCACCAGACATTCTGGGTTCCCAATCAGGCATGTTATTTGTCCATAATTTGATGGCAGGCTAATGTTCAGCAGAGTCACCTTTTGACTTAAAATAACTCGTGTTTACATGTTACAGTTTACTTTTTCATATGCTTTTTACATTTATCCCTTACATTTATAGAATATTTTATTTATGGAAAATGTTTATACAAACATTAATAGAAAGTGTTATTTCAAACTGCCTGTTCATGCAAGGATTTCACCTCAAATATCAAGCTTCTTTCCTGTGACACTCTGGGATGAAGTCTGATTTCTGTCCTTTTCAGGATATAGGTGCATATGTCATTTTAAAATTTTATGACACACAATATACTGTCAGCTCTGTGCTTTTCTGTTCTTACCATCTTTTCCTTTATGTGTTTCTTTTCTTTTTTCCCTTCCCTTCCGTTTGTTGCTGCTCTTAATGTGATGATGGAGGTCATACGCATGATGTATTCATCAGGGGCTACGGTGCTCATATCACCTCACTATGTATCCAGGTGTGGCAGCCCCAGGGGTCAACCGCATTTATTTTGGCACAGGTGAATGGCATCAGTAATTGTACTCATTGCCTCCCTCTTGCTAGGCAAGTGATTTTAATGAGCCATCTCCAAGGTTATCTATGTTTTCTATACATTCTTTTATTTATGTTTGATATCACGGCAGAGCCTGGCAAGCTACCCATGATGTATTCGATATGCCAAACACAGTAACAACAAGGTCTCCAATGGAGACATTACTGGGCCCGCTTGAGCAAATTGATGAACGACGGGAGGACGGT